TGCTTGCAACGTCCGGTCTTGCTTGCAACGTCCGGTCTTGCTTGCAACGTCCGGTCTTGCTTGCAACGTCCGGTCTTGCTTGCAACGTCCGGTCTTGCTTGCAACGTCCGGTCTTGCTTGCAACGTCCGGTCTTGCTTGCAACGTCCGGTCTTGCTTGCAACGTCCGGTCTTGCTTGCAACGTCCGGTCTTGCTTGCAACGTCCGGTCTTGCTTGCAACGTCCGGTCTTGCTTGCAACGTCCGGTCTTGCTTGCAACGTCCGGTCTTGCTTGCAACGTCCGGTCTTGCTTGCAACGTCCGGTCTTGCTTGCAACGTCCGGTCTTGCTTGCAACGTCCGGTCTTGCTTGCAACGTCCGGTCTTGCTTGCAACGTCCGGTCTTGCTTGCAACGTCCGGTCTTGCTTGCAACGTCCGGTCTTGCTTGCAACGTCCGGTCTTGCTTGCAACGTCCGGTCTTGCTTGCAACGTCCGGTCTTGCTTGCAACGTCCGGTCTTGCTTGCAACGTCCGGTCTTGCTTGCAACGTCCGGTCTTGCTTGCAACGTCCGGTCTTGCTTGCAACGTCCGGTCTTGCTTGCAACGTCCGGTCTTGCTTGCAACGTCCGGTCTTGCTTGCAACGTCCGGTCTTGCTTGCAACGTCCGGTCTTGCTTGCAACGTCCGGTCTTGCTTGCAACGTCCGGTCTTGCTTGCAACGTCCGGTCTTGCTTGCAACGTCCGGTCTTGCTTGCAACGTCCGGTCTTGCTTGCAACGTCCGGTCTTGCTTGCAACGTCCGGTCTTGCTTGCAACGTCCGGTCTTGCTTGCAACGTCCGGTCTTGCTTGCAACGTCCGGTCTTGCTTGCAACGTCCGGTCTTGCTTGCAACGTCCGGTCTTGCTTGCAACGTCCGGTCTTGCTTGCAACGTCCGGTCTTGCTTGCAACGTCCGGTCTTGCTTGCAACGTCCGGTCTTGCTTGCAACGTCCGGTCTTGCTTGCAACGTCCGGTCTTGCTTGCAACGTCCGGTCTTGCTTGCAACGTCCGGTCTTGCTTGCAACGTCCGGTCTTGCTTGCAACGTCCGGTCTTGCTTGCAACGTCCGGTCTTGCTTGCAACGTCCGGTCTTGCTTGCAACGTCCGGTCTTGCTTGCAACGTCCGGTCTTGCTTGCAACGTCCGGTCTTGCTTGCAACGTCCGGTCTTGCTTGCAACGTCCGGTCTTGCTTGCAACGTCCGGTCTTGCTTGCAACGTCCGGTCTTGCTTGCAACGTCCGGTCTTGCTTGCAACGTCCGGTCTTGCTTGCAACGTCCGGTCTTGCTTGCAACGTCCGGTCTTGCTTGCAACGTCCGGTCTTGCTTGCAACGTCCGGTCTTGCTTGCAACGTCCGGTCTTGCTTGCAACGTCCGGTCTTGCTTGCAACGTCCGGTCTTGCTTGCAACGTCCGGTCTTGCTTGCAACGTCCGGTCTTGCTTGCAACGTCCGGTCTTGCTTGCAACGTCCGGTCTTGCTTGCAACGTCCGGTCTTGCTTGCAACGTCCGGTCTTGCTTGCAACGTCCGGTCTTGCTTGCAACGTCCGGTCTTGCTTGCAACGTCCGGTCTTGCTTGCAACGTCCGGTCTTGCTTGCAACGTCCGGTCTTGCTTGCAACGTCCGGTCTTGCTTGCAACGTCCGGTCTTGCTTGCAACGTCCGGTCTTGCTTGCAACGTCCGGTCTTGCTTGCAACGTCCGGTCTTGCTTGCAACGTCCGGTCTTGCTTGCAACGTCCGGTCTTGCTTGCAACGTCCGGTCTTGCTTGCAACGTCCGGTCTTGCTTGCAACGTCCGGTCTTGCTTGCAACGTCCGGTCTTGCTTGCAACGTCCGGTCTTGCTTGCAACGTCCGGTCTTGCTTGCAACGTCCGGTCTTGCTTGCAACGTCCGGTCTTGCTTGCAACGTCCGGTCTTGCTTGCAACGTCCGGTCTTGCTTGCAACGTCCGGTCTTGCTTGCAACGTCCGGTCTTGCTTGCAACAAAAAAAAAACATGGGCTTGGATGGTTCTGTGTGATCAAATCAGGAAACTTTACAGCCTGGATGAGATCGAAAACGCCTAGAATATCATTCTACATATATTAGACTCAAGAAGGACAAGGAATATAACTAAAGACATTAAAAGGATGACAAACTCCATAGTGCATACCATGATCGATCAGTGTTTTAAAAAAGGACAAAATAATGTTTGCTACAACAACGACAGACACTCCCGTCACTGACTGGTCTCCACCAAAGAAAACAGGTACCTACACCTTTTGTAAAAATATTTCAAAAAACAAAACACCAAAATACACTAACACAACACGAACCCTCCTTTGCCAATCAAGATCTTATTGAAAATAAATTGATTTGCTGATCGGAATGTTCTCCGAACAACAATCTGCAATCAACAGTCTATTTCGCCAGGGTGCCTTCTCAGCCGCAGGAATGCGGACAGGAAGCTTTCGTCACAACATCCTCGACCCCATCCCATCACGCAATATCTGACCTCCC